GACTGAGTTTCCTCCCCTAAAGATCATGTTATGGCCACTGTAGACATGTCTCATGACTCCAATACGTAAAATCCCAGTTGCCTGGGGGGCTATGTTGCAGATCCCAGGGCCAGTTCAGGTGAACTGCCTTGATTCCAGCTCCTGGCCTTTGCTACCAATTGTTCTGTTTATCTCAGCATGCTTTCATTCAACCCAGTCCTAGCTTAGGTACTTAGGATTCTACAAGGGAGGAAAATGGACCCTTAATGAAATAGGGGACTTTCAAGCAGTCCTGAAGAAAAGGTCAAGGCTATGTAGAAACTTTGAAGTTCAAACATAGGAATTAAGAAAAACATAAAAAGTTAAACATGAATGATCATAAGGGACTAAAGAATAAACTTAAATCCTAAAATGGGAGATGATACACATGTCCCCTCTGAACCCTGGGGAATAGCTGAACTGTTATGGTATATAAATGTGATAGAATACTATTGAGCTGTAGGAAAGAATGAAGGGGATGATTTCAGAGAAACCTAGGAAGACTTGAATGAACTAATGCAAGGTAAAGTGAGCAGAACCAGGAAAAGCAGTTTACAGGCTGAACGACATAGGAACTCCAGGCCAATGTATGAATTCATTTTGCTTGATTATGCATATTGTTACAAATGTCTTGTTTTGTTTTTTCTTTCTTTGAGATGAATGGATGGGAATAAAGAATAAGGACAGAGTAGCAAAAAAGAAAAATAAAGAAGGTAATTTTAAACATCTTCTGAAAAGAGTGCACAGAAGAATACAGAAAGGCTAGAAAACATTACAGACTAGTAGGGCAATTTTGAAAGTTGCATGTTGAAATTAACAAATATTTTAAATGAAAAGCAAGCTATACATGAGATCCACAGTTTTATGTGCAATCTTTTTTATCTCTCCCACATGGTGGAAATGCCAATTTTATTGAGTGTTTGTTAATCTCCGAATAAAAGAAATGCCCATTTTATTTAGCGTTTGTTAATCTCTGAATAAAAGAAATTCAGAGACCACAGCCAAGAAAATCCAGAAAGAAGAAAGTATCTAGGAGAAAAGGGAGTCAACAGAAGTCAAGAAGGATGATGATTAAGAAAAGTCTATCATATCTGGCAAATAAGACATTACTGCTAATTTTGGAGAGTGCTGTTTAAGTTCTGTGATGATGTCAGATTGCAAAAGGTTGAGGAAAGGAAATGCAGTCAATAGGTACAGACAACTTTTTTCCTTGGAATTTGGCAAAGAAAGGGAGGAAAGATACTGTAGGTTCTGATGAGGGGACAGGAACCAACAGATGGACAAAGACTGACATGTGTATGTATGTATGTGTATGTACATATGTATAGAAATATGGAGAGAGGAAGGGAGAGACAAAGTGATGATAGGGCAATGTGCTGAAGAGATGGAAGGAGATGAATCAAAAGTACATGTAGTACACCTCGTAAAGAGAAGGACTACCTCTTCATTAGAGATTGGAGTACAGGAAAAAATGGGCAAAGATGTCAAATGGTTTTGAGATGTAGAAAATGGGAGAAGAGGGAGAATATGGTAAATTATCTCTATTCTGGCCTATTATGAGGCAAGATCCTCAGCTGTGAAGTTGGGGAGAGATTTGGAGCACCCACTGTAGAAAGTAGCATACAGAGCCAAGTACAAAAGATTAAAAGAACTATTTTGCTACCATGAGGAACCAGTTGAGATTAGATAACAAATTTGTTGTGGGCCCACTTAATACAGATCGTGATTTTTCTTCAGCTTCATTCAGCAGCACGTGAATATGAAAAAAGAAGGCAGATGGTGAGAATTACATATATGAGCAGAGATACCTGACAACTATGTGGCATAATGGCTAGAGTGCTGAGCTTGTAGTCAGGAACACTTAAGTTTGAATCCTGTCTCATCCTACCAGCTATATGACCTTGGACAAGTTATTTAATCTCTCAGCCTCAATTTCGTCATCTGTGAAATTTGGATAATAGCCCCCACTTCCCGGAGTTATTATAAGGACCAAATGAGATAATATATGCTGTTAGCAAACCTTAAAGTACTATATAAATGTTAGCTATTATTATTATTATTATTATTAGCTATCACTTGAACTAATAGAAGCAGAGGAAATCCCCAGGAAGACAGTACATGTATAATGAAAAAGAGAGGGGCAGCTAGATAGTGCACTGGATAGAGCACCGGCCCTGAAGTCAGGAGGACGAGTTCAAATCTGGCCTCAGACCAAACACTCGACATGTACTAGCTGTGTGACCTTGGGCAAGTCACTTAACCCCAATTGCCTCACCCAAAAAAAAGAAAAAATAAAAAAAAAAGAAAAAGAGAAGCTGAGGACAGAGTCAAAGCCAGAGCTTTGGGGACACCCATTCCAAGGGTTCAAGAGTAGGATGATTACCCAGGGAAGGAAATGGAAAAAAATAGATAGATAGGAGAACCAGAATTAAAGATTAACATCAGGGTGAGTTACCCCATATAATATACTTTGCAAAACTTAAATTCTATATAAATGCTACACCTATTATCATTGTCATCATAATCATCATCATCATGGACTGTGAAACTATATGAATAGCCTGAGCAAATTGCTTAACCTCTCTGAGCCTTCAACATCTCATCTGTAAAATGAGGAGGCAGGACTAGATGACCTCTACAATTCCCTCTAACTCTAAAGCTGTGACCCCAAGATTCCAAGACAGAGCCATGTCGACTACAGAGATCAGGACTATAAAGGAGGAAAGTGTGCCCAGAACAGGACTGATGGAATGGGAGGAGGGATAAAGAGACAGTGACAACAAAGAGTAGGTTGAGTGAGTCAGCAAGAAAGAAGACAGATCTGAGAGAAAGGGGCAGAGGGTTTTTTCTATTGAGACCAACCAACAGGAAGAATTGAGAACCATACAGGAACAAAAATTTAAACATCAACATTCTGCAGCTAGGGGAAATTTTTGTTTGAATTTTTAGAGTAAATTAATTTGTTTTATACCTTAGAATGGCAAAATGAAAACTTTATTTAATAAATATAATGAATGGGGAGTTTCAAAATATACTTCCTGTCTTACAGGAAGTTAGGGGGCCAGAAGGGGAAAAGATGCATGGGCAGCCTATTGGATTCCCATCTTATTTTAAAGTCCAACTCAAATATTACCTTCTCCAAGAAGACTTTCTCTCCCACCTCTAAGCTGGTACCTTATTTGTCTTAGTAAAGCACTTTGTACAGACCTCTGACACTTCTATCTTGTATTTTAGTTGTCTGTGTATCACTTTCCTTACTAATATGTAAACTCCATGATGCAGGGAATATGTTTTATCTGAACTCTGAATCCTCACCAGCACCTAGGTAACATTAGGGGCTTAATAAATATTGGCTGAATTGAATTTGTTGAAAGAGGGTGAGCATAGAAGGGAAGAAAAATGTCAGGTACAATTATCTTATTTGCTCTTATAACAATCCCACAAGATAAATAAATACTACATTTATTGTTATCTCCATTTTACCGTTGAGGAAACTGGGGCTCAAAGAGGTCTGACTCGCCCGGGATAGAATTCCAAGCTATCCAATCCATCTCTCCTCTGACTGCATTCGCCAATCCAGCATTCTTTTTACTCATGCCCTTTTTCACACAAAGAACTGAGGAGACGAGATAGAGAGAGAAAAAAAAAAAAAGAAAAAGAGGCAATATATTCCTAGCTTAGATAAATTACTCGTCACATCTTGGGTCTCACAGCACAATCCTTTCTGCTCTCTGAAATAATAAACCAAATCAAATATGTGCAAAATGCTTAGCATAATGCCTGGTACATAGGCACTACTATTATTATAATTACAATAACTTTATTATATTTCTTATTAATTATGATTATTACATTATAATTATAATTTCCTTACAATTATTAAACCAATCACTATTCCTAGTCTTTCTTTGAGCATTTAACATTCAGAGGCTCTTTAAATGGGAAAGGCACAGCAGTCCACCAGGGGAGAGAGATTACAGAAGTTATGCTGAAGATTGAAGTCACGCAAGGACTTGGTTTTTATTATACAGTTTATGTTCCAAAGGAACTCAAAATATCTAAAAAACTCAAGTTTTATTTAAAATGTACATATTACATAAAAAGAAAAGCAAGCTGCACATAAGAAGTTTGCAGTTTTCTGTTTTATTGTATATAAAGAAGTGTTCACTTTAGTTGGCATTATATTCACAATAAAAAAGTTCAAAATTTTTAAAATAAAATGTGCATATTGTCATAAGATCATTGGCCATATACACAAAAAAGACATAACTAAAAAAGCTAAAGCTTTAGTCCCCAAATTAGAGGGCTGTCCATTAAAGAATGCTGATCAAAGGACTTTAGTTAGATAAACCTATCAAAATACAAATTGTATTCTGATTGCTACTTTACATACGCAGTCAAAATAGTCACAAATGAAATTCTTCTAACAGGACTGTAGTATAATTTTTAAAAATAGTATTTTATTTTTCTAATTACATGTAAAGACAAATTTTAACATTTATAAATTTTGAGTTCCAAATTTTCTCCCTCCCTCTTCCACCTTTCCCCCATCCTAAGATGGTAAGCAATTTGATAGAAGTTATATATGTGCAGTCATGTAAAACATATTTTCATATTAGTCATGGGGTGAAAGAAACAGACCAAAAGAAAAAAAATCCATGAAAAAAAAGTGAAAATAGCATGCTTTGACCTGCATTCAGATTCCATCAGTTCTTTCTTTGGATGTGAATAGTATTTTTCCACGTGAGTCCTTTGGAATTGTCTTGGATCACCGTACTGCTGGGAATAGCTAAGTCGTTCATAGTTGATTATAATATTGCTACAATATTGCTGTTACTATGTACCATTTTCTCCTGGATCTGCTCACTTCACTTTTCATCAGTTCATGTAAGTCTTTCCAGGTTTTTCTGAAATCATCCTGCTCATCATTTCTTATAGCAAAATAGTATTCCATTACTTTCATATACCACAACTTGTTCAGCCCTTCCCCAATTGATGGGCATCCCCTCAATTTCCAGGCCACTACAAAAAAAGAGCTGCTATAAATATTTTTGTACAAGTAGGTTCTTTTCCCGTTTTATGATCTCTGAGATTCAGACCTAGCAGTGGATGCTGGATCAAAGGGTATGCACAATTTTATAGCCCTTTGGGCATAGTCCCAAACTGCTGTCCCAAATGGCTGGATCAGTTTACAACTCCACCAATAATAGTGTTCCAATTTCCCCACATCTTCTCTGACATTTATCATATTCCTTTTCTGTCATATTAGCCAATATGATAGGTATGAGGGGGTACCTCAGAGTTGCTTTCATTTGCACTTCTCTTATCAATAGTGATTTAGAGCATTTTTTTCATATGACTATAGATAGCTTTGATTTCTTCATCTGAACACTGCCTATTCATACTCTTTGGCCATTTATCAATTGGGGAATGACTTGTATTCTTATAAATGTGACTCAGATCTCTATGTATTTGAGAAATTAGGTCTTTATAAGAGACAGTGTAAAAATTGTTTCTCAGCTTTCTTCTTTCCTTCTAACCTTGGTTATATTGGTTGTGTGTGTGTAAAACATTTTTTAATTTGATATAATCAAAATTATCAATTTTGCGTTTCATAATGCTCTCTATCTCTTGTTTGGTCATAAATTCTTTCCTTCTCTATAGATCTAACAGGTAAACTATTCCTTGCTCTCCTAATTTGCTTATGGCATCACCCTTTACGTCTAAATTGTGTACCCATTTTGACCTTATCTTGGTATATGAAGTAAGATGTTGGTCTATACCTAATTTCTGCCATACTGTCTCCCAGCTTTCCCAGCAGTTTTATGAAATAATGAGTTTTTGTCCCAGAAGCTGGGGTCTTTGGATTTATCAAACACAAGATTTCTATGGTCATTTACTACTATGTCTTGTGTACCTAATCTATTCCACTGATCCACCACTCTATTTCTTAGCTAATGCCTGATAGTTTTGATGGTTATCACTTTATAATATGAGATCTGGTACTGCTAGTTCACCTTCCTTTGCATTTTTTTCATTAATTCCCTTGATATTCTTGACCTTTTGTTCTTCCAGATGCATTTTGTGTCATTTTTTCTAGCTCAATTAAAGCAATTTTTTTGGTAGTCTGGGATGGCACTAAGTATATTAATTTGGGTAGAATTTTCATTTTTATTATAATTAGATCAGCCTATCCATCAGCAATTGATATTTTTACAGTTATTTAGGTCTGACTTTATTTGTATGAAAAGCATTTTGTAATTGTGTTCACAAAGTTACTGAGTTTGTCTTGGCAGGTAAGACTCTCAAGTATTTTATACTGTCTACAATTATTTTAAATGGAATTCTCTATGTCTTGTTGCTGGGCTTTGTTGGTTATAAATAGAAATGCTGATGATTTATGTGGGTTTATTTTACGTCCTGCAACTTTGCTAAGTTGCATAAAGTTGTTTATTTTTTCAGTAGATTTTCTAGGATTCTCTAAGCATAATATCATATTATCTGAAAAAAGTGATGGTTTTGTTTCCTCATTGCCTATCCTAATTTCTTCAATTTCTTTTTCTTCTCTTATTGCTATAGCTAACATTTCTACTACAATACTGAATAATAGTGTTGATAATGAGCATTTTTGCTTCACCTCTTATCTTACTGGGAAGCCTTCATGGTGACTGTATTGTAATTTCTAAAAATATTAATTTATATTACAGTCGAGGTGCCAAAAATTAACAATTTTAAGTTTATTATTTTAAAATTATCAACAATCAATGTGCTCAAATGAAATAAAATGCTTCACAGGCAACTAAATGGCTAATTTATTTTAGCACAGTACTTGGTATTTCTTTATTTTGTGAAACTGATTTTGTAATTATTCTTTAAACTGAAATGTATCTAATCACTACAGTATTTTATCAAAATGTTTTTTCCACAGCTGAGTTCTTTCTCCATAATATCAAGGATCTTTTTTAAAAAGTGATTAATAATACAAATGGATTATTTCATTTCCCACCCAGATGCACTCCCCTGGACCTCTTCATCATGCCCCAAGAACCTCTTCCTCCTGAAAGATCACTTCAGATCCAGATCTTATAGTTCCTCGGGACTTTCCCCCAAGGGGTCCCTCCCTCTGATGAGAGGGTGGAGAATTCTCAGAACTTTAAGGAAGTCAAGAGCAAGCCAGCCCTATCTCTCCATTTCCCAACTGGCTGCACTCTTCTGGACTTTTCTATCATGCTCCCATGCTTGATACCTTTCCTCTACCTCCTCTCCTTTTCAACTTCCTTTTGTGTGTTATCTTCCCACGTGAAAATATAAGCTTCTTGAGGTCAGGGACTGCTTTTTGTCTTTCTGTGTATCCCTAGCACTTATCACAGTGTCTGGCACTTGGTAGCCTCTTAATAAATGTTTACTATGTTCAAAAATAGTGAGTGTCCCTGCTCCCAAAGTCCTAGTACTGCAAATGTTCATTACAGACCACATCAATGCAAATTCTACCCATGTGTAAGTAGGGTGAATTTTAGTGTGTGTAAGGTGGATTTTTGTTATTTTTTCTTAAGAGTTTTCTTCCTAGGACCCATAGCCATAACAATCTCTACTTCCCAGGTGTTAGATATGAGTTCTCACAGTCATGGTTGAAAACAGTTTCTACTGCCCAGTTGAGGTAAATATAGGGATGAAGTAATGTAAAATTGGGAGGCTATTGCTGGCAATATGCCTTCTTTGTCTGTTGCCCTATAAAGCAAGTGCACACTGGTCAGTGAGTGGAGACCCCCTTAGGAGTGAATGCATGAGCTGGAATGCTGTGCATGCCTTGATCTGCCCCAACCCAGGCTTAGGAGGGAGAATCTGTGTGTTTGCCTCATTGAGGCTTGAGGGGATGTAGGGCAGTGCACAAGTTGTGCTTCTCGATTGGCCCCATTGAGACGGAAGGGTTACTGCTCCCCCTTCATGCTGGTCCCTGCGAGAAGGGCTGTTAGGGAATGCTGAAGGAGATGGTGCTCCCATTAACAGCAAACTCCCTTTAAAAAGACTAGACTAGAATAAAGTAAGTTTATCTAACCCCTTATTATGACTATTCCTGTCTGACCAGATCAAAAGCAAACCTGCTAGTGAGACAGGTGCTAGCTCTCCTGTGTGACTTACTTAAGAAATGGCATAGTCAGTGTGCTCATCTGTCTAACACCATACCAAAAGTTTAGGGTGCTATCTCAAGTATGAAACAATTAACTTTACTGGGCAAACTGCCAATTCAAGGAAGAAGCCATAGATAATGAAAATGAAAATGTATTACTGTGGTTTTTAGAAAACAGTGTTAAAGATGTTTGTAGTGGTTATACTATGCCTTCTCTGTGTTGTCTATGACAGCTGTGTCTAGTAACTACTTGAAAAATACCTTTTTGCTCTGAAGTTCTACGTACTATGGAATGATTTTTGTTAGAGGTAAATATGAATACCAGATAGGCATAGTATCCTGCAGAGAGCTGACCTCAAGAGTCAGGAAGATGGGTTCAATTCCTACTTCTGATGTGTATTGGCTGTGTGGCCCGGGTTAATCACTTAACCTTTCAGGGCCCAGAGGCAACTCTTTAAGACTAAATTGAGAGCAGGTGTCAATCTTTGTTAATAGAGAGAGTTTCTTCACTGGGAGCTCCTCAGATCAATGAAATTCATAGATCTGGTCCAAAAATATGGATGAGTCCCACCTGTATATCAAAGATGTGAGCAAGATTTTTATGAGTTTCATCATCCTCTCTAACAAAATATTTATGGTCTTGACAAAAAGTTTCTCTGTGCCATGTTGTATAATAATTTCTATAGGTGCCTTCATTTCTGCCTCTGGCTTCTCTTCTACACTCATTAATTGAAAGGTAAAAATGTGTGATCTCAAAACTGACTTTAAACATAAATAAAATGGACAAGATGGGTATTAAGCCCTTCATACTCACTATTCGGACACAGTAGAATTGTAGATACTTGTCAGTTTTATCATTCTTCTGCACACACTTTTCAAAGTCTGTTTCTTCCATTTTTACTTCAACTCCCTTGAGAAAGGAAAAGGTAGGGATCCCAGGAATTGCTGTTTGTGGTTTAAAAAAGGTAAAAGTCAGAAAATTATAATGAAAACAAATGAACAAGAAATGAGTTTAAATTGCAAACTGCCACCACCAATTAAGAGAACCCGGAACTCTCATTGACAAGGTTTGCAGGGCACTGCTTTTACCGCTCCCAGGTGTGTTATACACAAAACATTTCTCAATCAGAACTCTAGAATTCTAATACCTCCCCTTCCTTCTAACACTGCAATTCAAATGATGACAGAATGTAGAACTGACAGACTTTAGAGATCTACCTTCCTTGATTTAAAGATGAGGAAAGTAAGGCCCAGAGAAAGGAAGTTATTTTGCCCAGGGTCACACAAGGAATAAATAGCAAAAAAAGTTGTTTGGGCCTGTCTTCATTCCACTACAGCAGTTACTGATTAAATTTAATACTGTAGTCAACTCAGCAAAAGAGCACTCAACCAGTTGACACAAAGTATAAAAGGAAATTAAATTTAGAGATATTTGGAATCACCTTGAGGTGACTGTGTTGTCTGGTTGGAGATGGTACCTAATGTGAGAGGGGGAGAGACTTTACAGCAAACATTTACGGAGCACCTTCTATATGTAAAAGGAGGGTGGACTAAGGGCAAAAATTAAACCCAAGGCATAGAAAGTGGTCATTTCAAGCTCCTGGGCACTACTGACTCCCTGATTCTGCACAAGATATTCCATCTGCCGTCAATGTCTATTTTCAGTGGCTGTCTCCCCCCTACACCTGATACGATTTTCCTGCATAACTGCGCTTCCTGGCCTCCTTCAAATCTCGGCTCAAGTCCCTCGGCTCCTGATCCCCCTGAATAGTAGTTTCTTGACTCTGGGATTACCTCCAATTTATCTTGTATATATCGTCTAAATCCATAGTTGTTTACAGGGTATCTCCCCCCTCCCCCGCCCCCGCCCCGAATCTAAGCCCCTTGAGGGTCAGTTTTTGCCTGACTCTGTATCCCTAGTACTTAGCATTGAGCCCGGCACTTAGGCAGTGCTGGCTCAATACACACTTGCTGAATGTACAGATTTCTGGGTGGAAAAAGTCACACTGCACGCCATTCCTGCCTGCCTGGGACCCGCCTGCATGCAGCAGGCTTTGTAATGCATTAACCTTTTCCAGCCCCAAGGCCTTTATTTTCCCTTCCTCAGAAACACAACGTAAGTGAAACCCTGTTGCCTGGGAAACTCGATTCCCCACGGGCCTTTTAGGGTTCAAGTTTTAGAGACCATTAACTATTTAAGAGGAGCGGAGGCGCTGCACAGCATGGCTAGAGGCGCAGACCATCCAGGCGCCCTCACTTTCATTCTTTAAAAGCCCTCAATTCTCTCCCCAAGATGGGGCCCAAAATTAGATGCTCAATTTCAGAGCCAGAAGGGATACCTCTGAAGTCATTTAATCCCACAACACCCTTCCCTCCTTCATCCACTTTACAGATGGGAAAACTGAGGCCCAGAGAGGTTAGGTCACACATTCACTAAGGATTTGAATGAACCAAGCCCCCCCATGTAATCTCTGGGCAAGCATCTTAACCTATTTGGAACAGCATCTACCTCATAAAGTTGTTGCGAGGATAAAAAATGGAATATTATAAAAGCACTTCGCAAAAAAAAGCTCAACATAGAATAATCACTACGAATAAGCGCTTAGCATTATTTACCACCCCACCTTTCGGGAGGGGGAGGATTGCGGAATGGGGCAGGGGGAGGGGACGTCCCCGGCTACCTCGGCCCTTCTCCACCCCTCGGAGCAGCTGGAATTTTCCAGTCTCCAAATAAGGGTAACCAGCACCCTGCGCGCACCCGCAAGCTCTCCAGAGCGCGCGCCCTTGCGTGCTTAACCGTGACATCTGCCATTGAACTCGACTTTCCAGAAGGACCGCGGACGTCGCAATAAATCACCCACGCCGCCCCCAGCCTCTCCCCCTTTCTGCTTCGCTGTTCCAGGCGCGCGCGCACCCGCCCCACCACCGTCTCTCCTCCCCTCCCTGCCCCCTACTCCGTTCCGAGCGGCCCCAAGCCGCGTGAGCCGCCCGTGGGTACCGGGCTCCGCTAACTCGCTGCGCCCCCTGCCAATCAAGCGAACGTCGGGCGACCCCTCCTTTGGGCTGCTCGGAGGCGGTGGAAAAGAGCCTGGACTGGTGGGTCGCGAGCCCAACGCTCCCCACCCCCACCCCTCAGCGGACTAGTCCCGACTGCCCGAGCCGCGGTTGCCCAGGCTCGCCCCGGAGGGCCGGGCGCGGGGGTGGGGTGGGGACTCATTTGCATAACGGACGCCTTCCTGCCTCCTCGCGCGGGCTCAAGTCCCGCCCCACGCCCTGCTTGAAATCTGTTGGGCCACCGGCCCATCACTCCGGCCGAGGAAAGCCTGTGGCACCGGCTGGAAGGGTTTGTGCGGGCGGGCCCGGGAGTAGATTGGTCCTGGCGGTTCCTGGGAGGCGGTGGGAGGTGGTTATAAAAGCGGGGGTGGCGGGGGGGGGGGGGGGTGCGGCCGGGAGAGCCGAGGCTGGCGCGGAGGGTGTCGAGGTGCGGGGGGACGCAGGGGCACCTGGCCTCCAACCGTTGACGCCGCGGTTTCTCATCGCCTCTTGTCTCTCCTCCTCTTCTCCCGTCCCCTCTGCTCTCTTCCAGTCAGGATGTCTGCGCGGGGCCCCGCCATTGGGATCGACCTGGGCACCACTTACTCGTGCGTAGGCGTTTTCCAGCACGGGAAAGTGGAGATCATCGCCAACGACCAGGGCAACCGCACCACCCCGAGCTATGTGGCCTTCACGGACACCGAGCGTCTCATAGGCGACGCCGCCAAGAACCAGGTGGCCATGAACCCCACCAACACCATCTTCGACGCCAAGCGGCTCATCGGGCGCAAGTTTGAAGACGCGACGGTGCAGTCGGACATGAAACACTGGCCCTTCCGGGTGGTGAGTGAGGGCGGGAAGCCGAAAGTGCAGGTGGAGTACAAGGGGGAGATTAAGACCTTTTTCCCGGAGGAGATCTCCTCCATGGTCCTGACGAAGATGAAGGAGATCGCCGAGGCGTATCTGGGCGGGAAGGTGCAGAGCGCCGTCATCACGGTGCCGGCCTACTTCAACGACTCCCAGCGCCAGGCCACCAAGGACGCGGGCACCATCACCGGCCTCAACGTGCTGCGAATCATCAACGAGCCCACGGCCGCGGCCATCGCCTACGGCCTGGACAAGAAGGGCAGCGCGGGCGGCGAGAAGAACGTGCTGATCTTTGACCTCGGGGGCGGGACGTTCGACGTGTCCATCCTGACCATCGAGGACGGCATCTTCGAGGTGAAGTCCACGGCCGGCGACACCCACCTGGGCGGGGAGGACTTTGACAACCGCATGGTGAGCCACCTGGCCGAAGAGTTCAAGCGCAAGCACAAGAAGGACATCGGCCCCAACAAGCGCGCGGTGCGGCGCCTGCGGACCGCCTGCGAGCGGGCCAAGCGCACTCTGAGCTCCTCCACGCAAGCCAGCATCGAAATCGATTCGCTTTACGAGGGCGTGGACTTCTACACCTCCATCACCCGAGCCCGATTCGAGGAGCTCAACGCCGACCTCTTCCGCGGGACCCTGGAGCCGGTGGAGAAAGCCCTAAGAGATGCCAAGCTGGACAAGGGACAGATCCAGGAGATTGTGCTGGTGGGCGGTTCCACTCGTATCCCCAAGATCCAGAAGCTGCTGCAAGATTTCTTCAATGGCAAGGAGCTTAACAAGAGCATAAACCCCGATGAGGCTGTAGCGTATGGAGCGGCTGTTCAAGCAGCGATTCTTATCGGAGACAAATCGGAGAATGTGCAGGACCTCCTCCTGCTTGATGTTACTCCGCTGTCCTTGGGCATTGAAACCGCAGGCGGCGTGATGACTCCCCTGATTAAGAGAAACACCACTATTCCCACTAAGCAGACCCAGACCTTCACGACTTACTCCGACAACCAGAGCAGTGTCTTAGTGCAGGTGTACGAGGGAGAAAGGGCAATGACCAAGGACAATAACCTGCTCGGCAAGTTCGACCTTACAGGTATCCCTCCAGCTCCCCGTGGGGTGCCCCAAATCGAGGTAACTTTTGATATAGACGCCAATGGCATTCTCAATGTCACTGCAGCAGACAAAAGCACCGGCAAAGAGAACAAAATTACCATAACTAATGACAAAGGCCGTCTCAGCAAGGACGATATCGACCGGATGGTACAAGAGGCAGAAAGGTATAAGTCAGAAGATGAAGCAAATCGTGATAGAGTTGCTGCTAAAAACGCAGTGGAGTCCTATACCTACAACATAAAGCAGACGGTCGAAGACGAGAAACTGAGGGGCAAGATAAGCGAACAGGACAAGAACAAGATCCTGGACAAGTGTCAAGAAGTGATAAGCTGGCTGGACCGAAACCAAATGGCAGAAAAAGATGAGTTTGAACACAAGCAGAGAGAGCTTGAAAGAGTCTGCAATCCTATCATCAGCAAACTTTACCAAGGAGGACCGGGTGGAGGCGGTTCGGGTGCCTCTGGGGGACCAACCATTGAAGAAGTGGACTAGAAGCACGCACTCCCAGTCAACAGCAAACCTTTACCGTTCTCTACACGTTATTTTTTTTTGTTGTTGTTTCTACTTTAAAGTGTCAGTGTGCCAAGTACAAAGTTTATCGAAGAAAATCTTAGCCTGCTGTATGCATATGAAAGCAAAGGTACAACAGCTTAGTTTAGTAAAGGTTAGTTCTAAAGATTGTTTATTTAAAAAAAAATCTAATGTTCAGGATTTGTCTTTAATGCATTTTGTGTGTTTGCTAACTTGAGCATTTTTTTGTTAACACTTACAGTTTGTGCATGAAGATTTTGTTTGGGGAGGAAAAAAAAACACCTATAAAAAAACCATTTTCCCACCTGTCCTGTGGAAGCTTTGGTAACAATAAAATATTGAGAAGCTTAACCTGCTTATTTTCCATGTATTGATGTTTTTAAGATTCGGTTCGTTAGCTTAAAAATAAGTTTCATACGTCTACAAGAACAATTTGCAATCTTAATAATGAATAAGTCATTAGATACTAGTTGGCAAATTGTCAATTATTGTAAAAAACACAACTGGTCTCAAAATGACTCTCTGATGCTCTCAAATATTTACTTGATTTTTCTGCCATATAGACAACAAGTTGTTAAAAGTTTCTGGTTACTCTTGAAGAAGTTAAAACTTGAAATCGGAGGGACTTAGGGAAAAGGAGAAAGAACAGGGCTTTAAATAAATGCCTATGTATATGTAACTTGGTATTGCAGTGTAAAATCTAACAATTTGTATAGTTGTGGAAAACTGGGGAAACGTTCTCAGTATATAAATCTAGATGGGGCTTTTGGATGCCTTCTTAAGAACTTGCAGGACATAAGTGTAGTATAAACACACTGGCCTTTGAAGGGGTCCCCCAGTAGAAAGCAGAAGTAGAAATAAGTTGTTTGTGGGTTGGGTACACAAAACTTGCTGTCAGCACACTTATCTGAACTGGCAGTAATGGATTAAAACCATGACTTCTAATGTTCAGGTATACCAAATTTAGTAAAAACCTGGGATGGGAGTGGGGAGGGTGACTTTTCCAATACAGAAATTACTGACCTTTTGTGGTGAATTTCATAAAGATCATAGAGCTAGAGTGAGAAAGGGACCTTGGCCCATGTATTCCTACCTCACCATTTTTCAGTTGAAGAAACTGAGGCCCAGGAGAGTAGTAATTTGCCCAAGGTGTTTTGTAAGTGTTGGAGGGCTGTACACAGGTATACATACATACATATATACACACATATATTGCAGCTCTTAAAATAGGGTGGGGTAAAAGTATCTGCTTTATAAATCAGAGAATTAAAGTGGCATCCTTTTAAAATTAAAAAGATCACAACTCCCTTTAGCACCTGTCAGACTACATTAATTCGACATTAAAGCTATGTTTTTATGTTTAATGTTTCTCTAAGGACCACAGAAGTCCTTAAAATGTATACAGAAAACTGGTTTGAGAATTCCAGAATTATAGAGGTAAGATCACTAACTTTTGAACAAAATTTAGTAATACTCAACACTTGGGCTATTTATAGTCAATCCTTGGGAAGGAGGGAGAGAGGGAAGGGTTGGGAAGCTATTTACAGTTACATAAAATTGCATTTAAATTTCTCAGATGTTTGACTTGCTCCTTATAAGAGGAAGAACTTAGTTTTGAGACAGCAAAGCTGTTTGGGAGGAAATGGTTGACCTAATTTTTTCCACTATGCTTTAGACATTTTGACAATTTTTTTCAATTTGAGTTTGCTTCATATAATTGTAGTAGTAACATTAAGAAAGAAATATTTAGATCTCTGATCTCTCTTTTAATATCAAGCATCATAGAACATTGGAATTAAAGAGCCTTAGATCCACAGATGAGGGAACTGATGATACCTAAAAGGAAAAAAAGTGATTTGCCCAATAACACAACACTTCTGTCAGCTGGAACCCTAGACCTCAGTCTCTGAAGTCCAATCAGTCTCTAGAGGCTGTGTGCTTTCCCCTTGACTCTCATGTTACATGTTAAGTGATAGAACAAGGGATGGCTTCTGTCCAATTTTAAAATCAGCATAGGAACACAAGGTTTTGCCAGTGACCCTGTCATTTATACAAATTTCCTTAAAAACAGAAACAAACCTACTTAAATTTTGGAGAAATGCAGGTAATCTTATTTCCCTTCTGAAAAACTAAAACATTCAGGAATTGAAAATCATAACTGCATTTAGTAGAGCTGGTATTAATTCAGGGGGAAGCTTTCATATGTGAGGGGGAAAAAAGGGCATGTGAATGATTATAGATAGCCATATAAAAAATTCATGAAAACTGCCCAGAAAGTAAGCCATCTGGTCATGATCTTCCTGAAAGGAAAACCTGTAGAACTCTTGTTATTATTGATAGATAATCCCTCTTTAACTCATTAAAAAGTTTGCATTTTAGGCCCTTTTTGGGTGTTATTTAAAACTTAATAGTATTTAGTATAAGGATGATTTGCCTTAAGTCTATCTAAAGGTATTTACATATTGAAGTGCCAAAAGAACCTTGTTACAAGATAGTCCCCTAGCTGAGACCCTAGTCTTAAAGTAAGTTGTCAAGGATACTAGTGTTTTTGCATTCTGTAACTTTAAAAATGATTTGCAAAATGCTGCCTCAACCTATTTCTGTTTTTTTTTTTCTATTTGGATTTGAATTTTAGCCCCAACATTTGCTAACCTATAATTATCGCTGAATCACTTAACTTCTCTACACCTGTTTTTTCACCTGTAAAATGAGGTACTTGTAATACTAATCAATTCTGAAGAAATGACCTATGAAAATCTTAAAACACTATATAAACTGGAGCTGATATCCTTTGCATTTTGCCAAATTGATATGGGGATATTGAGATTGGGGATTTGCAAACATTTTTGAAAATATATGGTGTCATAAAGTGAAGAGCTAAGATTCAACCTTAAAGTTTTTTGCTTTAGATTTCTTGCAGCTATTTAAAATTAAATGCAATGAGCACAGTAGGGAGTAGCTAACTCCCCGCCCCCACTCCTTTTGCTTTCAACTAGGGAGACTTAAATAATAAGCAGATTACTAAGGGAAAGTTATCTAAATAGCTAGTTAATGTTTCCATCAAGCTGTTTGTACTGGCAAACCAAAGTTGTCTCCTGTTTATTAAGATAGTTTCAATTATTAGTATCCTTTGTGGCTTGGGAAAAAAAATTAGAAAGGCAGACAATTATGTTTAAGAAATGTTGGTGAAAGTCATATAGAATGATCAAAATAAAGTAAAAAATTGGGAAATAAGCATATTGAAATAAATATCCTATGCTTAGTATAGCAGATTACAGGCAAACTACACCTCCTTAATAGCTCCCTAGTAGCATGTAGTAAAAGATTTGTATTATATTTTTAATGTATATTTTTCTAAGGGTAGTGATCATCTTTTATAGACTCTAGAGTTTGACTGAAGATGAAGATCTCTGAGAAGCTTAATAGAGCAACAATTAAATTTGGGCCCATCAAATTTTTCTCTTATTTAGTACGTATTATATAGGCAATGCACAAAAATGGTCATACTGTGGAGTCAAAATAGTATTTAAATGTTTACATTTTAACTTCTGTAAAGGAACAAGAGGTCCTAATGAACCAATTAGGGATACCAGTCATACTTTTAAAATTGTATCATTGATAGCTTGGGAGATTGGGAAAGTATCATGACCATAGATTGATGCCCTATGACTCAAGTTTAAGACCCTTAAATTGTTCATCTGTCCTAAAATTGTGGTATTTACAAGTCTCATTCTGAGATACAACCTCTTAAAAAAAAAATTGGAATTGAATCCAGTGATCCTGTATTAGCAGTCCTAACTTTTCTAGTCAACATACAAACTTGGTAATTCTTAAAACTGCTAAGTACGACCTTAGACAATCCTCAATTTCTCTGGGCTTTGATCTTTTCATATACTGCATAAAATGAAGGGTTGTACTAGAAGACCTCGACTGTCTCTTCTAAGTTCTAAATAACAGGATATGTTTCTGGTTTAGGTTGAGCAACAGAGTAACATTTTACAAATACATGGTTGCTTTCCCCCTTAATCATCTTGAAGTGAAAATGTGGGTGGAATATTTTAAAGGACTACTTTAAACCAATTCAATTGAATAAAAAAAATCACATTTCTTAAAGATATGGAAGGGCGTGGAAATAAGGCCTAAGCCATATTTTGGTCATTATCTTTGCAGTAGTAGAGTTTGGTAATAATTTGAGATAAGTGGGAACCTAAGTTATATGTTCTATACTTGTTGCTCTGACTTTTTTAAAGCAGATAGTTCTTGTCTATATCTCATCCACCCCAACAGGGACCAGGTTTTCCAGCCTTTAATGGAGAATTGGTTTTACAGAGTAACAAAGTAAATTCGTCCTTGAATTTAGCATTGTTGTTCAGTCTTGTCTGATTGTTCATGATTCTGTGGCATAGAACATCAATACTGTCCCATGGAGTTTTCATGGCAAACATGCTGGAGTGGTTTGCCATTTCCTTCTTCAGAATTTAGCATTACCCTTATCAACATCTTATGTGTTAATATGTAGTACAGTTGTAAGTGAGTTAACAAATCATTCTCCCTAGATGCATAGAATTCTAAAATTGCAAAAACATCTGCTTATATGTGTATACAAGCCCCTGATTTATAAATGTGTGGATAACTCATGCATGAAGAACAGGAAAACAAATTCTATTCTTAACAATGAAATTGGGAAAGTTACTATTAAGCTAACATTGGAAAAATCAATACTTTACAATATACATTTAGAATTATTATCCATAAAGAGCCTTACTAATTTAGAGTATTAATATATATTTTATGAATAGGACAAGGTAGCAAGGTAGTGCAGTGGATAAGAGCACTGGATGGGGAGTCAGAAAGGCCAGAGTTCAAATCCCACCTCAGATGTTAGCTGTATGACTGATATCTGGGCAAGTTTCACTTAACTTCTGTTAACTCATCTGTAAAGTGGGGATAACAGCATCTGCCTCTCAGTTTTGTTTTGAGGATAAAGAGATTTTTCCCCCAGCATAAGGGTATATGTTTCTCTCCTCCTCCTCTTCTCTTCAATACACTTTAAGAAAACCCAAATTGTGAAAACCAGAAAATCATTCCAAAGGATTCTGCTTTATTAAATCAATCACCTTCCTTTATACACAGCATAGGACTAGATGTTGTGGGGGCAGACAGAAGTGTAAGAATTAGCAAGCTTCCTTTAGAACATTTAAAAGTCTTTAACATACAAAAATTCCACTTATGTAGCTTCTCTGGGACAAGTTACAAGGCAGTAAATAAAATTAACAAGTCATTGTAGATGCTTGGTCTTTATATCTATTGATTTGTGTGTTTACCCAAGTTTCTTCATCAGTCTCACTAGCCTTGGGACAACGTGACAGGTTTTTGTGAAAGATGTTAAAAATACATCTGAAGGTAAGAGAAGGTAACCTGAATGAATTCAAACTACAAGGAAGATTCTGAATATTGACCTATGGTTTCTAGAAAAACTTGATCATATTTTTCTGGGGTATAAGTAGTGAGGTTTTCCTGTTTTGATTGATGTCTAACTCACCCCTTGGTCTACTCAGAACCAATAAATCCAGGAATGTTATGTGAATGTTACCAGGTGGTCAGCCTGCCCTAAACTCCCCCTAAGTAAACTGCTTGCTCTTAATCCAACACCTTCAAAACAAAAGGCACTAATTTCTTACTGAACTGAGTAAATTTCCTATAGCCGTGGGGAAGGGCAGGTACCTTCCCATTGAGTTAGTGAGCCTCAAAAAGGGGTGGGGAAGGAGGATTGCAAGGCCTACTCAGGAAAGTTAAGCTAGTACGGGAAACACGTTTGTATATTGGGGATAGGGCCACCTCCCATCTCTTGGTCTACCTACTAGTGATTTTGCATGATGACTATAATTGACCCAGGAAGTCTGTATGAGTGCTTATAGATATTTACTACATATACTTAACCTTGTTAGGTAAGGGGAGGGGGCCAGAGGAGAACATAAAAGAACCACCTGCTAACATTGTGTATACATCCCTATTTATTTTGATTTAGGATTCCATATTTACTCTTCTAACCTGTTACCGTAACTCCCAGAAGTTTAAAAGGTTTCTTGGACATCCAAAAAAAAAAAAAAAAATTCAGCAATGGGAGAGGGAAAGAAGAAAAACATGTCCAACCATGGGACAGAGGAATGAGCAATGAGGAGTCTCCCCTTCAAATACTGCCTTTGTGTGATCTTGGCAAGCCCCAAGATTAACTCTTTGGGCCTCAGTTTTCTCATGTTTGGATCAGATAGTCTTTGAGGTCCCTTCTGGCTCTACCTGTATGATCTTATGAATTAAAATTTAAGAATTAGATTTAGAGTAGCTTAAGTGAGAAAGAAAATAGACTATTGTTTCTGGATCCTAAAGAGTAGAAACTTTAACATTCCAGTTGCTCAAGTTAGACTAATGATCCACAAACTTTCCCCAAAACATATATCCTTCAGAGAAAAATACAAGGTTCAAAACTCAAAAATTGTTTTGATTATATGTCAAGTCTAATGGTTCTTTCATTAGTCATACCTCTGAAAAAGATCTTTTGCTAACAAGTGAAAGTAGACCCTCCTATCATTAAAAATTAGGAGTCTTACTTAACCCATGAATGCATGGATAAATCCAGTTCCAATATGGATAAACCACCTTAGAATAACATTAACAGATCTTGTGAATCTTGGAATAGAAGAATTGTTTTTAGAAACTTCAAAACAATGAATTTTCATCACCGTACCACACTGCAGCAATGCCCCTTTAAAGTTTTCAGGAAAAACTGGGAAACATTTTAAATTTTTGATCTAGTGAAGTTCAAAGACGCCCAAAGCTATGTCCTGTCCTACATTCTTAATGTTAAAATGCCTCCCGAGGCATATATAAATAGCTATACCCGCTGGAAGATAGGTCAATTTCTTCTGAAGTGTTGTTAAAAAAAAATGAATGTGTCCCCCTTACCTATGTGGAAGTGATGAAGAGGGAGAAATTTAGAAAGTCCCATTAAATCTCTAGAAATAAACTCTGTAAGGGTTTTCTTTTGAAAGGGCTAAGGCAGAAATTGTGCTTGCATTCTCATTCTCTACTATTTTTCCAAGACGCCGAAGAAAGAGAACAAAAATAATGGAAATGTCTAATTTCAAGATGACAAGATGTTTTCTACATACTGTTGAACACCAAACTGGCTTCATCTGAAATCCTCTATCGTATATTTTGTCTTGTGGTTCTGTATCCTTAGTTCTGGGGTAGGGGTGTTTGCAAAAAGGGGGGGGGGGCACCGGGAATTTGAAAACACAGTAGTGGAATATATTTTATTATTTACAAAGCACCTTCAACATACATTTTGTTTTTAAGTCTTACAACACCCCGGCGAACTGGGCGAGCTCCTGGAGCAGTGTACTCCCGTTTTAGAGATGGGCACACCACGACCTCTGGGAGCTGACTAAGTCCCTAAGGGACAGAGCCCTCCCTGCAGGATCCAAAACCGGTGTTCCGGACGGTGCCGGGCAGCAGCTGCTGGGGGCTGCAGGTAGAACACAGAGGAGGCATTCTCTGAGCCCGGCATATCATGAGGGTGTCTCTGTGACGACTCTCCACCCCACGCCTTCTAGGTAAGAAGCAGAGGTCATAGCCGCGTCCTGAAGCATGCAGCCTTTGGAAGTGGAGCCGGAGCCCCTCGAAGACGCTGCGGCTACTTCTCCCGCAGCTGCCGCTGTCGCTGCTGCCGCCCCTGTTGCACCGCCGCGGCCTTGCATCCATCCGAGATGCGGCTCGAAGCACAAAAGAGCGGGCTTCGGGCGGGGGCCCAGCCTGGCCACGTCGTTCAAGAGTGAGGTGCAGGCCGTTTCCAAAAGCGCCTCGGAATGTGGGCCAGGCGCCCTGCCGGGCAGGACCTTTCTGCCCCCGCAGGAGAACGGAGAAGGGAGTGAGCGTGGGGAGCAGGGCTGCCCCAGTACTCTCCGAACTCGCGAGGCCAACTCGAGAAAGGGGCGGTTGAACGTTCTGATCGTAAGTTCGATCCCACGGCCCGGCCCCCTTGCCGCTGTCCGCTCCCCTTCCCGGCGCAGAGGCGGAGATGGCCGGAGGGCGGGCGTAGCAGGCCCCCTCTGACCGGGCGCCCCGCAGCGCTCGATGCTGCGGGCTCTCCTCCAGCAGCTGGGCAGACAGTGGCGGCCCCCACGCCGCGGCCGCTGAGCCCTCCCCTGGCACTGCACCTGATTGGGCGAGGGAGCTGTAAGTTACCTCGTTCCCGGGGGATCAGAGCGAGCATTGGCCGCGGGCGGAGGCTCCCGGGCGTTAGTGGTACGCCCCCGAGAGCGGGTCGGGGAGTGGGGAGTCAGGCGGCGTCCCAGGTCTGCGGGGACACCAGGTGTAGCTGTCTGATGCGCCTCTCTAAAAAATGGGGGGGCCAGCCCTTATCCATCCGAGCCCGCGTCTGTTTCGTCATCACGCGTTTATGTGATCTATAGCATCGCGGTCCGGAAAACTTTAAAAAAGGGGAGGGCGATGCTTTTGATTCAATGCTGAGCCCTCAGGCAAAAACAAAACAAAACCACACCAACAATAACATTCAGAGGCATCAAAACCTCACAAACTGCAAAGCGTAGCTCCCAATCGTGTCCTTTCGTGGGTTTTCTGGAAGCGAGCTTGAGTGGTCCTTGGACCCACGAAGGACCGAGGCTAGGGTGGTTTCAGTTGCCTTAACCTTTTCATTTGGAGGTATTCCGGAGCTGTGGCCACGGCCAGCGCTGTGTCTACAGGGTAGGCCCTGCCTTAAGAATTGTATCTGAGAAGGACAGCTACTGGGTCGTGTCTTTGGCATAATCAGATAGATCCCAGCGTCCAAAATCAGTGGCAAATGATGACTTTTAGGCTTTCCATGGCAAAGGATAAACATTTAAAAAAACCAAAAACTATTCAACCAACAGCATACTGGAAGCACAGTTTCAAAAAGGGAGGGGAGAAGGCTACTTTTGTGGGAGCAAACTGAATAAAACTTACTAAATTTGCATGTAAGGAACCATGTTATAGTTCTTTATTGAAACCGAGAAGAGTAAAGATGAAGATGTTTTGGGTTTCATCGAGACTTATACCCTATAAATAATACTTTAAATGATTGAATCTTTTTTGCTTTTCAGCCTTTATCCCCACCAATAGGGAAATGGTACTGGGATCATGAGACCAACACTCTTAAATTAAAAAGGTAAAAATATTTATGTGAAATATTCTAATGTGCAAAAAAGGGTTTGTCTGGAAAGACCTTTTTATCTCCAGAATGTTGAGTACTTAGTGAGTATACTTATATTGAATATTGAACTTTATAGTTAATGGCAGAGTAAATTTTTTTCTGATTGTCATTTGAGAATTGACAATAGTTTCTACTTCTATAAGCTTTTACATCTTATGAAGTGCTTACCTCAGAACAAACTTGCGAGACAGGACAAGTATTATTTTCCCATTTTATAGATAAAGAAAACTGAGGCTCAGAGATGAAGTGAGTTTCCCAAGGTCATAACTAAGTAATAGAACAGGGACTCCAACCCAGGTCTTCTGATTTTCAGTCTAGTGCTCTTTCCACTACACTCTTTCCACTGCTCAGATGGCTTAAATATTTTATATAATATCCATATCAAGTTGCCTAAGTAACTTATTTGATTACTTTTCCAATTATTAAGTTAACTTCCTAGAAAATATGGCATTATATTTAGCTTAGCCTTTAATGTATTAATGCCTTATATATTTAATGTATATATAATGTGTCTTATATGTCTTAATGTATAAGTCTTTTATAATTATCTTAGATAATATTTAAGACATCTTTCATTTTAATAGCAAAGTATAGCCTCATCTACCTTTTTCACAAATGTCAATATAGTAGAAGAACATTCTTACAGACAGATGAAAATGAACATTCATTGGCATATGATTTGCATAACAAACTGATGTCATTTAAAAGATTGGCATCATTTTTATTACAAACCAAATGTGTGTGCATTTTAAACCTGTTAGAATGTTGCAATATTTCTAGTAATTTATAAGCCCAAATCAATAGTTTTATAGCTCATTCCCACATTATGTATCCCAGAAACTTCTTTTCAGTAATTCCTAAAACATCAGACCCCGTACTAATCACCAAGACCATAAAATACCAGGGAAAAGGTTAGGAGAGTTGTAGGTTTTTGAACCAAATAGTCAAAGTGATTAATGCATATATTGAGAGAGGCAGGAGTGGAGAGAATACTGTTCCTAAAGTGAGAAGGTCTGGGTCCAAGGTACTTTTTCTTCCTCCCTCCTCCCCCAACCACTATTTCCTTGTCCTGGAAAATAGTAATGGGTAAATGACTATTTAACCAGTGTACATCATCTGTTTCATAGGGTTGTTGTGAGGACCAAATATATTTGTGAGAACACTTTGTTTTTTGGTTTTTTTGGTTTTGGTTTTGTTTTTGTTTTTGTGAGGTAATTGGGGTTAAGTGACTTGCCCAGAATCACAAAGCTTGTGAGAACACTTTGTAATAACAGAGGATTATATAATTATAGGTGGCACTGTGCCTGGAATCAGGAAGACCTGAGTTCAAATCGGACCTCAGTCACTTATTAGTTGTATGATGCTAGGCAAGTCACTTAACCCTGTTTACCTCAGTTTCTTCATCTGTAAAATAAGCTGGAGAAGAAAATGGCAAACAACTACATTATCTTTGCCCAATAAAACCCAAAAAGGAGTCAATCAGAATCAGATATGACTGAAAATGACTGAACAACAGCAAACATAATTATTAATATGACATAGTAATAACAGAAATAAGGTTTGAGAATTTGTATGCTAAAGAATATACTGACATGCTAACTTAAACCTTCTTATACTTTTAAGATTATCTCAGTTCTCCCTGTCTGAAAGTAAAAGTGGACCTTCTTCCATTCACTTGTTAAAAAAAATTCTGTTAAGTAGACTTTTTTTTTATTTACAGTATTACTCAAACAATTTGCAATACTGATTTAAAAATATTTACAAGGTGGTGTTTAATCTTCAAGCGCTCCCTTACTGCTAAACTCAAAAGCATCCATTTCATCCCTTCAGTGAGTTTCAAATAACAGTCAATGATATAATAGTACTAGAGTGATGGGAAAAGTACCTTTGTAGCTTTTGTGCCAAATGTAACGTTTGAACATTGATGGAGTGACAGACACTTTTCCTTTAAGTTCAAACATACCACAACCCAAATGAAAACACAAGCATTGAGATATTCTGTGGATCCCTCTTAACTTGTAAACAAATAGGGCTGTGATCTGCTATTTTTGTGCCTGAGACACCGTGCACCTTGAAACCCTGCCCAGCCCAACCCCCTGGCATGGAAAGAGGGTAAGTGAGTTTTATAGAGTAGTTCCAGGATATCATCAGAGGCAGTGGTGGTCACAAGAGATCCAGAGAATAGAGTGTCTCCTCCAGTTATATTGATTGTATCAGACATCACACAGGCTGTCCAGTCCTTCACATACATCTATCAGTCAAGCAGCAGATATTTAGTGTGTCTGTGCAGATCTCTTGTCTGTGTTTAAGCTGTAAAGACTATGAAGGAATATCAAGTTTAGTTGGGGATAAAAATACATCTAGTATATAAGTACTAGGTGAGGGGGTATAGACAAATACTTATTGTGGGCTGGGGATGGGGTTAGCCAAGTTGGTGGAGAAGGTGGAACTTAAGTAAGGCCTTTGTTAAGTGGACCAGAACTGGCCTCTCACCTGTGGGTAGCCAGAGCCAAACAAACAGATCAGGCTAGAAACAGGAGAGTCAAGACACAAAACAGAAGTTTAATTAATTTCAGAGTGAGGAAAATGACGTATACATATGGAAGCCCCAACTCCTAAGAAGGAGGGCTTTTGCCCTGCAAGGAACAGAACCAGAGTTCTGTGATGGGAACAGGAGTGAAGTACCTGTCAGTGACAAGGAACAGGGATTATGCATATGTGATGGATGGCCCTGGGAAATAGGGGGAGCTAAATCCCTCAGTGAATGCCTGGTTCAAGCAATATGCTTTGCCAGAGAGTGATCCTGAGTGCAAAGTATTATTGTTATACCAAGCCCAGGACACAGCCTGCTTGCTGGGCCTTAGCTCTGGGAAATAGGGTATCTCCAAAATATTTTGACATTTCCCCCTTTTGGCCAAAGGAACCGTACCCTTAAGGCCAATAAAGGAGAGGCAGGTATATGTCACAGTTATATTGCCCAGGGTGGGGGGTTAGTTCCTTGAGGGGACCTATTGGGAAGTGTGTCCCAGGTAATTTATTGCTAGCCATTGTTTGAGTGAGAAGGGGGACCAAAAATGTCAGAGTGAGAAAATGCCAACATACACTTGAACCTGGGCCTTGGTGGTTGGGTACATAGCAAAAGGGGAGAGATAAAAAAACTAAAACAGTAGATTCAGCTTCTCATACAGAATCTTAGGACAGCTGTCTCATCTGGATGTTGGCTGTTTTGGGGTTCATCCACTAAGAAGCAGTTGCTTGTTTCAGATGATGCAGGATTAAACAGTACAATAAAGATTTTTTCTCACAATTCTCATAATTTCATAATTACATTAAGTCAGGTACAGATCAAATTATTTAGAGGGCTCACAATGGACTAGTTCTGAGAAGGGAGATTTACATGTCACCAAAGTAACCAAGAAAATTTTAACGTCAAGTCCCATGTAACAGAGGCATGAGCTAACTAAACACTCTCTTAGCCTTGCTGTTTCTATCCTTACCTAAATTCTGTAGTTGATATAATGTATGATAGAATTCACTTATAAAACTGTCTGGATCCAGGACTTTTTTTTAAGAAGCTCATTTATGGCCTGTTCTTCTGCCTTTTAAAATTATCAGACAGATACTTAAAAAAAGATAAAATACTTTCACTTTCTGTACCATCATCAATACAATTTATGTGTAAAATCCAATTAATCCTTAATTAATGAAAACTTAGAATTTATTACCAAAACATAGTTAAAGCCTGAATTTCCATGATTGTTAAATTTGGTAGCCAATCATATATATATATATATATATATATATATATATCTGTATATAGTTCTTAGAGAAAACAGTCTAATCCTGTTGCTTTTCTCAACATCTACTATTCCGTTTAATTAGAAAACTTTAACATAATAATCTTTGTCTTATTACTTTGTTTAATCATTTTCCCCTTTGGGGGATTTCATCCCTGGATTATAATTTGACCATAAATATAGGTTAAAATTGTAAGATGTTCATACTTGAATCCTATTAGATAAACTCAGAGATGTTCCAGTATCAATCTATTATTTAACAGATTTGGTATTGTATTTATAAAACTTCTTGTTTTAGAAATTTGCTATAAAAGGAAGAAGGAAGGACATAGGTATATCATAACAGAGGGGAAAACTCCCTTAGCTCTGTTGGGAAAAAAAAAATTCCCTTAACTCTGTTTGATTCCAGGCATGAGTCATATCTGACATCCACTTATGTAGTCACAGAGTGTTAAAGGTAAGGCTCAGGATTAACCAGGTGGGGAATTTTCCTTTTCCAGAAAGGAAATAGCACAATGGGGAAGAAGAATCAGGAGGATCCTACTTATATCATGTCCTAGGTCATTCCCCATAACCTTTCCCAGGCACAAACATCCACCTTAGCAGTCCTCATACTGCCCCACATACCATTCTCTACTACTGGCTTTATGACAATTCAGATAACTATCCCAGTAATCAAAATTCAAAACAACAGTAAATTTACAATCCCAGGAATTCTTACCTAAAATAGAAAATTTTCACTAACCACAACTTAGAGCTTGAGTGTCTTTCCCAATGTTTCCTTAACAGTTAACATTTCATTAATTTTTTACTTATAAATTAAAACTATCCATTTTCTGGAGCTTCAAACATACAGCAATATCATTAATATGTTGAAGCTACATCTTTAAACTACCTTATACACTTTCATAATAGCCAAGATTTTCAAATAAAAATCTGCTATCATAGTAAATATTCTTATTAGTAGTAGTAATAGCATTATTATTATTACTTGTTTATAGCTATATATGCCTCATTAAATATTTAACAATTTTCAAATATCTATTTTTTACCACATCCTTTTAAAAGCCCAATTCATGATGACAGCATCCAATTAAAAATTGCTTTGTCTAACAGCATTTCTGTTTTACAATGGTCCCTCAAATTTTACAACGTACATTTAGAAATACAATATAATTCAGAAATACAATAATAACACAAACAGTAAACTTCAGATGACACCAGTTGCATTTCCAAATTATCACATATAAAAATCATTGATCTTATTACCTTTGACATTTTTAAACCACTTTAAAGTTATCAGATATGGAACAATAACATTCAATTAGAGAAATAATAATAATAATGTAGTGCTTTAGCATATGCCAGTCACTGTGTTAAGCTCTTTACAATCATTATATCATTCTGATCTCACAACAACAACCATTATTTTTCACTTTACAAATCAGGAAACTGGGGCAAATAGAGATAAAATAACTTGCCTAAAATTACACAGCTAATACATTTCTGCAACTGGAACAGAGAAGGATGGACTTACCAAGGGAAGAGGTTGGCTGGCTCCCCACCTTGTACTGGTATGCTAGGTGCTGCCAGGAGTGCCTGGATTCTCCCAGGCAGCAGTTGGGCAGAGCCTGCAGAGGTCCAGGCTGCCTTGGAGATATTGACTGACCAGGCTTTGGGGGCTGTGGCAGAGGGCACTGCCTAGGGTTTGGTGTGGCTGGGGCTGAGACCTTCCCATTGATGGTAGTTACTGGTGGTAGGGCTCAGGGAATGCTGGCCATGGGGCCTGACCCTCCTCCCCCCTAGACAGCTGCAGGTGTTGAGGTTGGGAAGTTGCTGGGGCAGGGTGTATAGGGCCCCCACTGTGGCTGCTGTTCCCCCCTTTTCTACCAGGTGAGGCAGAATTCAAGTTTCCCTAGAGTTCTCCAGCATCTTCTTTTCTTAATCTGATCTGAGAGGGGTTAACAGAGAGAGATGGGCTGTAATGGTCTTGTTAGCAATCCCCACAACTGAGATACACCCATGACTCTGGGGGAGGGGAGTGGGACATGCTGAGTGAAGGTTATGGGGGAGGGTCCCTCAATACTTTCTGTGTGCTTTTTCAGCATCTACCCTAGTTATTTAAAGGGGACCATATTTTCCTTTCCTAATTGTGCAGAAGGGGGCTCAGGGATAAAATAGGAATTCAAGGAACGGTTAACAAGAGTTTGCTATTTACCTATTTTTTTCACTCTCTTCATTTCTGGACTTCCTTCTAACTAACTTACCTTCACTGCCCTAGAACAATGAAGCTATTACTTTTAAGTCAATTACTTTTAAAACTTAAAAAAAAATTATAAGATTTAATTATTATTTTTCCTTAAAATAAATCCTACAGAGTGGTACCTCAAAACAGTAAGATTTTTCAGAAGGGGCAGCTAGGTGGCACAGTGGATAGAGCACTGGCTCTGTAGTCAGGAGGACCTGTGTTCAAATCCAGCCTTAGACACTTACTAGATAGCTGTGTGACCCTGGGTAAGCCACTTAACTCCCATTGCCTCTGTAACAAAAAAAAAAAAAAAAAAAAAAAAGATGTTTCAGAAGGGGGTGAGCTCCTGGAATTACCCCAAAGTCTCGGGAGTTTTCTTATGCAATCTTAAAATGATTAATTGCTGGATAGAGCACCAGCCCTGGATTCAGGAGGACCTGAGTTCAAATCTGGCCTCAGACACATAACACTTACGAGCTGTGTGACCCTGGGCAAGTCACTTAACCCCATTGCCTAGCCAAAAAACAAAATGATTAATTGCCAAACTCTTTAATGATTAATCTCCAAATCTCCAGAATCTGCTAAGATGTTTTTAGTGGTTCTACTACTTTAATTATCTAACTATTTCTATAGCCCCAACTTGTCTA